ATTCCAGAAAATTGAACCTTTAACTCGCTAGAGATAATGTTTTTAGTGCATTCCACCAACTTAAAATACTTCAAGTATTGACAGCTGTTTCCACCTATTTAAGGTCTCTTTAGTATCGAACAACTTGTAGTGTCACACCAGAGCAAAGGAGTACCTGAGCTTATAAACTCTTCATGTAAATCAACAGAGGCGAGATTTAAGAACATCACGTGATCCACACCGCCTTTGCCGCGATCGGTACATACTATGCAACCAGAGTGCTTTAGATTGAAGTAACTCTTATTTTACAAACAACATATTTAGTAAAGTGAACCATACAGCGGGTTGGTTTCACTAAAGTTTTCTGGGTTAATTTAACCAATTTAAAAAAAATAAAAAACTATCTGGTTTAGTACCGTCAAACTAATTTTTGTTTATATTAACCTTCCCACAGTTGATTTAAATAAATACTAATGGGTCAACTAAATTAATATAGTTAAATGAACTATTCCTTTTTTTCTGTGTAATTGCACTTCTTAAATATTTTTAGATAAACACCGTTTTAGTGTTTGCTGTATATAACATTTTCAACCATTATTCATGGTGTTTAATTAACACCACTTGGTGTTGGATTTTGACACCATTTAAAGATTACTTTTTACACCACAGATATTTTAAACAGTGTATAAAACAAATTATAATTCCACAAAACAAGTGTCCCTTACTCTCTAAAAATGAATTAGTCAAAAATTACTAATTTAATAGTTGGTAGTGACTGCTTCTTCACTTGTATCAATTGTCCTCTGAATCCGAAAATGTCATCAAAAGTTAAAAAAGTAGAAAAGTTTTTGAGATATGGTCAATTTTCCATTTAATATGGAATTGACTATATTTCAAAAACTATTCCACTTTCATAATTGTTGACGGTATTTTCGGATTCAGGGGAGAATTTTATATAAGAATTGGCTCGTCCTGGTTAGTTATTTTAAAATAAAATTTCTGAACCAAACATAATAAATGGCAAAATTAAACAGGTAACAAATAACCCAATAAAAAATATTTTATATTGGTTAACCTGCTAAAAAGTTATAATATTTGGTGGAGGAACAACTTTTTACCACTACAGCATGTAGAGCAAGAAAAAGTTCACTTTTGTATTGAGGTAAACTTGGTTAAATCGCATTATTTTGGTATTTTTTTACATACATTTTAGAAACACCTTGTATAAAATATGTTTTCCCTCGTACAGCTTAAACTATGTTAGAATAAACGGTGTAGTTCTGCGGAAAATGTCTATAAATTTCTTCTTCGGCGTGGTGACGTATTGGCTTTATGACATACGATATGATAAAAGTACGTGACATCATTTTACCGTTTTATTTTTATTTTATTTTTTTTTTATTATATATTTTCAAATTTATAATCCGCGTCTAGGATCTCACCGTGACAAGTCGTGCGAGAGTTCCTTTCAAAAAGAATCGTATACAATGACATGGAAACAAAACAAAAAACATTGTTAAGGTTAAGTAAAGGTATTAGGCATTTCAATAAGTGATACTGTGCGAAAAAAAATAAAAAACGTACATGACTTTTGAAGGAGACAAAACACAAGACGCCAGAAGAAATGCAGATAAAAGATATGTATAGTGTTAAACCCGCACGATAATTCGCAATTAATAACAAACAACCGGGCATTTTTTAATTGTATTTTAGAAAACGTTGCAGGGAAAAGTACAAATACAAAAAATAAACAGTCGCCTGAAAAGCAATAAATCCCATGAAGGCACAAAACTAAAAATGTTTGCTTATCAAGAGCAATATTTTGTTGTGTTGGCCACAGCTTGGCAAAATAATTAAATATCTGTATTATAATTCTTTTTGGGTTGACAAAATAAATGTTAAAGGACTAACTCTTTTTTAAGTCAATATCGGTAAGAGTGGTTAAATCTTCTTTGAAGTCAGCTGCTTATTTTGACCAACCCGACGAAGACGGAGAAACGGAAGCGGACTAAAGGGCAAATTTGGTTTTTGTGTGTATCTGTTTTGAAATTTTTTAGCCTAGTAAAAAGACAACTTGTTAAATTGGCTGAATCTTCTTTGATGTCAGCAGACTATAACCCCCTCGAAACTTCCTACAGGACAAAACCTTAACCAAAGGGGAAAGTTCCTTAGTAAGGGGGTCTATTAAAATGACAACTTGTTAAATTGGCTGAATCTTTTTTGAAGTCGGCAGACTATCAACACCAACCCCGCCGAGACTTGCTATAGGGCAAAACCTTAACCACCTGTAGGCTTAGGAATACTATAACAAGCCACTAGACCTTCTAAAAAATGTCGGGAGACCGCGATTTACTTAGTACCAACAAGTCTAAGATAAAAAAAACAACGTTATCACTATATAGTGGTATATGCCAACGCAGGAACAATCCGACGTGGACACGAACTTAGATAATGATGGCCAAGTCGTAGACTACTACTAGAAAGATAGGCCCCTACAGTGAACCAACAACTCCACAACTTTAAACTGTAATTCCAAATGTTTGGATCCCACGTTGTACAAAGATTTGAGTTGGCGTAATTGTCCCCTAAATACCAAAAGGTCTATCCCTCCTACCTCAGGCAATGGGGCCAGTTATACAACTTTTATTCTCATATTTCTTATTTAAATTTATGGTTATTTTCTAATTTAATTTTAAAAGCTACGAATTCAAAAAATATCAAAATCTATCTCGATAATTATAATTAAAAATAAACAGAATTATAAATACTAATAAAGAAACTCAATAATACACAAAACTGTGTTAACCTAAAAAAATCTTTTAATAAAATACAATATCCTAGGATTACAACCACGTAAAGAACTTATTATAATTACAAACTGTTGTTCAAACATAAAAAATCGAAAAATTCCACAAAAGAAAATTCTAAAACGCGTGAAATCGGAAAAACATAAAGACTAAAAAAACATGAATAACGTAAAAATATCAAAAACTCAATAAAGGACCATTCATAACCATTTCTCTCAGTTACAAGTTGCAAATTAAAATTATGCGCGGGGCATGGTTAAAACACACACATATACTACCACATATATTCGACTGTCTGAAAGCGTCAAAACTTCCGTGCCAGTGAACCGAAATTGTTAAATTGTCCCAAACACTGAATTCACGAAATTCATAAAAGAACTACCTGAATTCAAATAAGATTTCATTTACTGTTTTTATGCAAAAATAATGTTTTAAAAATGCCGTTTTAATGCAATTTAGTTTAAAATGAAGAAAACAAGTTTTGCTATTTTGTAACATAAAAACCATACAATATATATACGTCCAAAATGCAATATACAATAAACATTTCTTTGTTTTAATTTGTTGTTTATTCTATTATGAGTTTTTTTAAAATATCAACTACTACTAATAGTTATTTATGTCATAAGGCTAAGAAGTGAGTATTTTTATGCTGAGCTAAAATTTGAGCTCAGTTGAGCAAAGAACAAAAAAAAACTTCCCAGCCGGATTGCAAACAACGTAAAATCTTTAATGCACAATTTTATTTTTTAAACGATACATAAAACATGTAATTAAAATAATAATTAATAAAAGTAGTGAGGTAGATCTGACAGTAGTCGTTTTTACAGCCTAGAAGGTAAAAAACTTTACCCGATTGGACTAAAGTATTTTACAGCCTAGGCGATCATTACTTAAGGTTCAATGAAATAAAATACGTTTTAAACAAAAATATTTAATTTGACCCTGATTTTGTTTTACGTATTTTACCTTAATTTTAATTTTTAAGAGAAATGTACCTAATTTTTAGTGTTTACCACCTAAAATATTGTGATTTTACCTATTTCACCTTAATTCTTATTTTTAATAGAAATGAAATTTTCAAATTGTAAAATTGGGGTTGTCGTATTTGGATGACATAATTTTTATGCACTATGTGGCAATGTTGCATTTTTACACATTCTGGCAAATTTTTGCTTTTTCATGAGAAAGTATTTTTTTAAACATTTCTATCATAAAACATTTAAATTTTTAAATTAGCAATTGTATGCTCATTTACAAGAACATTTTGTGCCGCTGCCTTAAAAAATTATAAAATTTATAATGGTATTAAGATACATACATATATTCGTAGTTATAGGTTATTTTTAAATCATAAAAATCTTGTTCAAAATTTTTAAATACAATAATAAATTAAATAATTTTACCAGTTGTTTTTCAGTGTCTACACTCTTTAAAATATCTGTGGTGTAAAAAGTAATCTTAAAATGGTGTCAAAATCCAACACCAAGTGGTGTTAATATAACACCATGAATTATGGTTGAAAATGTGTACCGATCGCGGCAAAGGCGGTGTGGATCACGTGATGTTCCTAAATCTCGCCTCTGTTGACTTACATGAAGAATATATAAACTCAGGTAGTCCTTTGCTTTGGTGTGACACTACAAGTTGTTCGATACTAAAGAGACCTTAAATAGGTGGAAACAGCTGTCAATACTTGAAGTATTTTAAGTTAGTGGAACGCACTAAAAACATTATCTCTAGCGAGTTGAAGGTTCCATTTTCTGGAATAATACCACTGGTAATATACTAGTAATGCGTCAAGGAACTTCCTGTTTCCTTTTTTCTGTGTAGTATGATTTAATTTGACCACAAACACATAATATTTAACACTGAAAAGGAGTTCAATTTACACCAGGTAAAATTTATTTTAATACTGTGTGAAAGTTAAATTAACACCATTTTAGTATTTGAATTTACACCGGCCAACGAACCATATTTAATACCATTTTGGTTTGTATCGATATAGACCATGTATGGTGTTAATTTGGTGTTAAAATGGTCATGAAATTTTGAACAGTGTATTTTTGAAAATAACGTACCTAATTTAAAAATTGTCTCACTTAAAACAAGAAAAAAGTTTACATATTTAGGTACATATTTTTATAAATAATGCAACCTAAAATCCAATCTCTAAATATCATGTTGTAACTAAAATATTTCTCTCCTTTTCAGAAGGTCCTTTCCAATCGGACGCTCTTCTCGTCCCGGAAAACTGTTTATTTGATCATATCCACAACCAGAGCAATTGCTGGTCCTTCGGTAGATGGAACGCAACCGCCGGAACTGCTTGCCAAGAAAAGGGTCTTCAACTTCGCTCGTTTGCCATGCTTTTGCCCTGCGGAATCTCCCTCTTCAGCGGCGTAGAATTCGTCTGCTGTCCAAAACACTTCAAAGGTAAAAAATGTTTTACTTTTTTATATTGTTTACTGTGTTTCGTCGTTTATCTGACAAAGGGTCATTTTTTCTTTTTTTACAGGAGAGCAAAAATAAATATTGTTCTGTTTAATAATCGCAATTAACAATTTGTCTATTCATATTATTATTATTATTATGTTATTACTGGAAAGTATTGGAAAATAACTATATTTTATTTCTCCAATGTTTATTTTAGTTTTTTGCATTCGTGTTAGCTAAAAAATTATAAAAAATGAGTTACGCCTGTTTGTAAGATTTGTGATAATAAGAATAATAATTTGTGTCTAAGTTACGCCTACTTTAATGAACACGTTTAAGGTACCAAAAGTATGTTCTAGCTTGAATACAAATGGGATAATATGTAGATAAAAATGTATACAACCAAAAAAATGATTATTCTTAAATACACATTAATTATGTATGTTTTACAAAAATTATAAATTTTTGTGTGACAGGGAAATGTAAAATTCTTTATGTTCCTGAAGACGAACCACCCGCGTAGGTCCTTGGCATAATGATGTTAGAGCCTTGTATTTTTTTGGCTGAAATTTTTGGTGGTTGTTTGTTTAACTTTTTAAAGTATACAGCATCTAAATTATTTAAATTATTTATTTGTTGTCGTTTAAGGAAAAGGGTACGATAATCCTTTTCTAAATGACTATATTTGAAAAAAATTACCCAGAGAATCTTTTAGTTTTTAACTTGAAATACGCCTTTTTGTGTAAGACACACATTAAAAGATGCACATATCAAAGAAAACGGCGTAAATTGAATTACGTTAGATTGTACAACACACAAAATGCAAAATATTAGTTACGCCGAAACTGCTTTATGCTAAAACTTTATTTGTATCATATTATAGTGTTACGCCAGTTTGTGAGATTATAAAGTCGATTTTGGTGATCATTCTGGTATACGTAACTCAAAAACGTATTTTTTTTTGAGTTACGCCTCTTTGTCAGATAAACGCCTAAACCAAACCAATAGATGACTATCTTATAAGATATATATTTATAAAGAGTATATAGTTCGGAGCTAAATGAAGCGCCCTCTTTGAACTTGGTTAAAAATTTAATTACGTGTTTACATGCAACATAGCTTTTAATTGGTGGAAAATCAACGTATTTGATTGGTTATTTCAATGGCGCTATATTTAAAATCTAACTTGTGGCTAGATTTTAAATGTAATTAGTAACGAAAACAATAACTTTATTTTCTACCATGTATTTAAGGTACTTCTGTGGTTATGCTGTTTAGTAATTTTCAAGCAACTTTTATAAACTAAAGAAATTCGCAGATTTATAGAAAAGCAATGAGGAAAACCAAAACCAAAAGTAACTGTCTTATCGATCATTATTTTGAAATTGAAGGATACTGTTAAATCCATAAATTGTATTAAACAATACATGCCTACATGCCTCTGAACAAGAAACTACAATCAGTTTTTGGCGGCATTTTTATTTTACTTAAACTTCGTTCAGGCACACCATGTTGTATAAATTTGGGCTGTGGTTAAATATTTTTTTGTCAACATTGCTTAAGCAATAATTATTAAAGGGTTTACCAGTAAGCGCGACCAAACTTTAAGGGGGTTTTGGTTTAAGGGAGAAAATGCAAGTGGTTTTATTTTTGACCATAATTTCTGATTTTAACAAACTGAACACCGCGGCTCTTTTACAGATTGATTTTACCAATTTAAAATCAATCGGCGAAGCATATGCAACTGTGTGCCACCAATTAAATGTCAAATGTTTAGGGACATCAAGAGTGGTGGGGTTGTTGCTGTTTAAAAAGGATCGAAGATGCCTCCGAGCCATAATCCACAACAAAGGAGCCTCGTATATTGCTTGTGTGTTGAATTTACTCCAATAACGGCAATTTTGCGTATTAACAAAGAAATTTAGCCAAAAATGCATCTCAATAGAAAATACGAATTTCTGTATACGTGCTCTTCGAAAAGATCGAACAGAACTTGAATTCCGATAATAAATTCGAGCAATTTCTAAACATTTTGAAAGGATAAAATGATTCGTGGTAAAACTTACTGAACACAAATGTCAAAGATTTTTTTTAAACATGGTGGAATTTTGCCCTGTGCAATATAAACATTAAAGGTATTAATTACAAATACAATTAGCAAACATGCTACATAATGTCAGGTATTAGTGTACAATAGATGCAACAAATCAATAGTTAACCTTATTAGTAATTGGCATAAAGTAATAAATAGGATTACGAGTTTTGATAATTAAAATTATTAGGACAATAAAATGTTAAAAAAAAAACGTAAATGTTTTAGTGGTCCAATTGGTGTTGGGGAACGGTTAAAAGGAAATAAATAATAAAAAATCAGTTGACCTAATTTTGGTTTATTATTTAAATAGTATTTTAAAACTCAGTAGGTTACGATGAGAAAAGTTATAAGGAAATTAGTAAAACAAAAGAAAATTACAGATTAGTAAAACTAATTTAAAGAAAACTTTATATAAATGAAAGTTTAAATTGGAATCAGGGCGCATTTACCACTTTCTTATTTTTTTTAGTTTTGGAGGTGTATCTTTATAAAGTTTTTCATAATTGACTTAAATACATTCAAAGACATAAAATACATATTTTAATATATTAATACATTTAATCTATTATACATATTAAGCATATAAAAAAATAACATGTTTTTATAGAAAATTTAAATAAATCTAGTAAAGTTTTAAAATGCTTCATTTAGGACCAGGGTTTGCTAAACTTACCATAAAATGAAACTGCGCAACTTTACCGAAACGCTATAGGGATGGAAACGAAAAGTTTCAAAACTCTGGGTATCCCAGCGTAAAGCATTACGTATTGAAATAAGCCTAGTAAATATGCATGGGTAAAGAAATGTTAACAAAATATTTAGGCATAAAAACAATAGTATATTGTGCGAGATCTCCTTTTTCGACCAATAGTCGCACACAATATTTTATTCAACTACCAAAAGAAATTTAAAGCAAATTTTATTTAATTTTTCATCTGCAATCAAGCTACTTTAACCACACTTAAATTTTAACTTAAAGCTTACTTTAGCCCGTGGGTGAAATTAAATTTTGCACACCGGTCAAAGTAAAGAAATTAAGTGGGGGTTGAATAATAGTATATTCTGTAACAAGTTTGGAATACGGCATATTCCGCTCGAGTGAAAAGTTTGTCACTCGAGCCGAAGGCGAGTTTGACAGTTTCACGAGAGGGGAATATGCAATTCCAAACGTGTTTCAGACTATACTTTTTCTACGTTTCCAAAAAATACCATGGACAAATAATTTAATTGGAAGAAAGTGAGGTTGGATCGGTCTAAAATTTGTTAGATATTAAAAACAGAGATGTCGCCACGAGTTTATTCTGTCATCAGATGATAGAATATTTCATTCTGTAAAACTTTACGGAATATATGTCATTCCTTAGATAAAAGTGATATTAGAATGGTCATATTCCATAATATAAGTAGAAAAAGTCTGTTCCCTGTACCCAGTTGGTTGGAATTTCTTTCTTGTACAAAAACTTACAAATAGATTCTTAAAGTAAAACTTGGCATTACGAAAAAGTTATCCGTTTGTATTTTTTATTGGCGTAAGGAATGAGTAGCTGTGCCCAAGTAAGAGAGAGATAGAAGATAAATACGACGCTTGAGCAAGCCTGATCATAGTGATTTTTATCATTATTGTTATTTGATATCTTTTTACTGTAATCATTACTGTATTAATTTATGACATCTGTCAAAAATGGCAGATGTCAAAAATGAAGTATGTCAAAAATGTATAATACTAATTTTTCTTAAAGTTTTGTTACCATTCCAAACACCCAAATTTTTTATCTAGTTTCGTTTCTATAGCTATAGTTTTGTTTACGATTCCTATGAAGGTTTTGTTTCTACTTTAGTTTTGATACTGCTTCGTTACTTATGTTTTGATACTTGTTTCGTTTTTATACCTGACTATATTTACAATTGGTTCGTCGAAGAGGCTAGTAGTGCAAAACGTTTCTGTCGATCTGTTCATAAGGAACGTTACCTACGTTTTCTTGTCAATTTCGTTATAGTTGAATTCAGTTTTGTTTTAATTTTATGGCACGAGCAACAATAGATACTTTAACAGAAACGCGTTATCAAACCCTGCTCAACAAAATGTTTTTTATCAATTTGTTTAAAAAAATCATCCTTAATAAGTCTGGGTCTGAAAATTTTGTTGAATTCGATATATGAGATCCTAAGATATGTTAAAATTAAAAACTGTTGACAATAAGTGAAGGAAATTTTTGTATTGTGGAATCTATGTTTTAAAATTACACAAATTTGTATTATTTATATCTCTACTCCAGAGCCAAATTGTATTAAGTCCACTTTTTTTCAAAAGTGATATTTTACTTGTGGTACCTAAACCGAATTAAGTCCTGGCTTGCATTGTTTTTGATATAGCAGTGTAAAAATGATATAAAGTCCATACCTCACTTAAAGCCAAATAGTGCAATAGTGCAATAAGCCATTGCTATTTTTTGGTTCTAAGAAATTTACAGTTTTATGTGGTATAAGTCCCATAATACTGTTTGGATCAGCGAGATTTAACTGTATAATAATAGTATAAATAATGTCCATTGTTTGTGAAAATTATATTCATTTTATTGATATATAATTTTTTGTCCAGTGGTCAAGTGTCACGTCAAACAATTTTTGTTTTATTCAAGCCAAACAGTATTAGTTTAACCCTATTTATCGAATGTTATTAAAATACTTAAGTATTAGGTCCATTTTATTTTTTATTTCCAACAGTTTAAACCGCACCATTTTACTTTTCAGCAATAAAATGATACTTTATGTATGTTGAAAAAGTTAGGTATTAATCTTTTCTGGTCCCAAAGTTGAACGCTTTAATTTTGCCCTCCTGAACAATTTCAAAAGTTAATACAGTCTGATTCAATCTCTGAAAGGTTTCACGAATTCAAATGCTTAA